CTCTGAAAATTAAATCCACAGGTTTTATACGTCAAACTCATCCTTTGCAACGTCCTCTTGTAACTTAAAAATACAAAATGTCATCATAACGTATAATGACTTCATAATTCCGAAAAAAAACATGTTTCCGGGTGGAATAAGTTTCATCAAGCCTTATGATGGTACCCAAGATTGGCCACAAGCAGTGGCGTTTCCTTAACCTCAATCTACCTGCGCACCAGCTCTCAAAACAAACAATTATCAAAATATTGTTTGCAATGGATGGATATCGAGTAACCTAGAAGATTAAGTGTATTTTTCAACCGATTCGAGTATGAATAAGGCATTAAATCTGGTTTTGTATAACAAAGTTGCGCCAACTAACTCGGTCCCTGGCTGCTTATCTCCAATTTCTCGAGCGTCCCACACTTCCTACATCTTGCTCCACTTGGTCTAACCACCTAGCACGCTGTGCTTCTCTGCGTCTTGTACCGGCCGGATTTGAGGAAAAACACCATTTTTGCGGTATTGTTGTCCGGCATTCTTACAACGTGTCCCGCCCATTGTACCCTTCCACCTTTAGCGACTTTCTTGATATTGGGTTCGCCATAAAGTTACGCCAGTTCGTGGTTCATTCTTCTCCTCTACACACCATTTTCATATACCCTGCCAAAGATGGTCCTAAGCACGCATCGTTCGAAAACTCCCAGTGCTCCTCAAGCATTGTCCATTGTCATATTTTTCATGCACAATAATTTTGTTTATTATATATTTGCAGTTCGTCAATAAGGTAGAAGACTGGCAGCCCAAAACTTTCCGCATTTTTGGATCATCTGTAGAACAGGCAGAGATCTGGAGGCGCAGCGATCACATTGTCATGATTGTCTGGTAGTTCACTCAAAAATGCTATAACAATCGCCAAGCTTGCTGTAATGTCACCAAGTGCCTCGTCACCCACGAATAGGCGCCTATGTCAGTGGTCTAACAACTCTTAGCGCGCTAATGGCATAGTTCCCCTGCCGCATAGAGAGTTGCCACAATGATATTAGGTTAGCTAAGGTCAGTTAACTGACTGGTGGGAAACGGGAGCTTAAGCAATGGCTATTCTTTATGCATTTAAGAGATAGTCTACCAGAATGGATGACTTTTTTTTGTACAATTTTATGTTTTCTGATGGTTTCGGTTGTGCAAAACATGAGAATTAACTTTTTCAATACTTTCAATTGTACAAAGCATTAGAGCTAGAAACAAGATCTTGTAAACACTACACACCTTAACTGGTAGTTTGCTAAAAAAAAATGCTGCAACAATCGTCAAGCTCGCTGTAATGTCACCAAGTGCCTCGTCACCTACAAATTGGCGCCTATGTCAGTGGTCTAACAACTCTTAGCGCGCTAATGGCATAGTTCCCCTGCCGCATAGAGAGTTGCCGCAATGATATTAGGTTAGCTAAGGTCAGTTAACTGACTGGTGGGAAACGGGAGCTTCAGCATTGACAGTTATGTACGCATTTTTATTATGTTATCTAACAACAATGGTGTGTAGTGTTTACACGATCATGTTTCTAATTCTAATGTGTTGTAAATATAATTGAAAGCATTTGAAAAGTAAGATTCTAGTGTTTTGTATATCTAAAAACATTAGTAAACATCTACATTTGAAAACATTCAAACAACGTTTACTTTAAACGTTTTGTACATCTGAAAACATCAGAGAACAACAAACACGAAGTACAATTAAAAACATCCGAACAACGTTTAGTTCTAACGTTGTGTACATCCGAAAACATCCAAAAAAAGTTTGGTTCCAGCATCGGGAGGCATCTACGTTAGAAAACATCAGAATACATTTACATATAAAAACATTCGAACAACGTTTAGTTCTAACGTTTTTTACATCCGAAAACAACCGAAAAACGTTTGATTCTAACATCAGGAAACCTCTACATTAGAAAACATCAGAAAACGTTTACATATAAAAACATCCGAAAAACGTTTAGTTCTAACGTTTTTTACATCTGAAAACATCCAAAAACGTTTGTTTCTAACATCAGGAAACCTCTACATTAGAAAACATCAGAAAACGTTTACATTTAAAAACATCCGAACAACGTTTAGTTCTAACGTTTTGTACATCCGAAAACATCCTTAAAACGTTTGGTTCTAATGTCAATAGATTGAAATTTTTGACGTCAGACCGACATTAGAATGGCAAAATTTTGTTCCAAAATTTCTGATGTATACACCATGTTACGTTGCTTAAATACAACTAAATCATAATGTTTTCTAATGTTTGACATCAGGCATACATTTGATTTCGATGCTGATGTAGACATCAGAATCAAACGTTGGGCTAATGTAAATTTCTATTCGGGGAGCATCTCAGAACCATAACGCTTCGCGACAATACAGGACTACGTTTTCGTTTGATATGCAAATAGTTTCCGAGGTTAATGTTCAATATCAAATATACAAATGATGGTGGCGATTTATTGTGCTGTGGAAGAGCTTGGGATTAAATCCATGATTTTCTGCTCAGTAAGCAAAATCGATCCCTCGAGGGTCATCGAGCATCTTATAATCCACAGCGCTTTGAATAGCTATTATTTACGATAATTACATGAAATAAATAAAATATAAACTACAAACAAAACGTGACTGCTAAAATCTCAAAAAGATATTCTCACAAATATATTTCACGCCACCAGGAATCTCAAAACCATTAGACGTTATAATGATACTCTGCACATGTTAGACACAAGAAGAGGCCAAAAAGCAAGCGTCCAACACACAAAACCCGTCAAATCAACTTGCAGTCACAATCAACGATTCTACGAATCGCGAGCGCTCACGTTTGAACTGTGAAGTTTACAAAAAGTGAATAAAGAACTTGTTTCGAACCTCTAACACAATGTTCAATCTTAGTACTAACCGTACTTTTAAGCAGCGCGAAAGTTCACAATTAATCTATGTTAAACTTTTTTCAGACTTTAAAGTACACGTAAAGTTTTAGATAAGTTCGAAGGAAGTTCGACTTGAACCTTGACTTGAACTTGTAAGCAACTTTATAAATGTCAATTTCTAGCAGTTTTTTTTCGTCACGGATCAATTTATCTTGTTCTGCGACACTGTTTGCGTTTGGCCAGAACAAAATGTGTCCGCTTTTTTATTTCCGCAGCCATTGATCTGGAACGACTGAAAGCTCCTTACAGCCTCGAGCGTTCAATGTTTCTACTACGGCGAATGGCATTCCTGTAAGTAAAAAATAGATTGTATTTTAATAAATTTCATTGTGGTTTGCGTTTTACTACCATACCTTGATGATTTTGTAACAATTGGGGTACTCCCTGCCCAGCATTAATGAGACCCCCCTCTACACTGCCTCAGGGTCGGCATACACGTGTGACTATCGCGGCCAAGGAAACACTCAAATACTCTTTACACACCCCGATGAACTCTCACACACAGGTCTCGTTTATTTCCCTAACTTTCCCACTTTCTTATCGGTTATCTCCTACCTTAACCTTCGGTAGTTCTTCCTTCGTCTTCCGTTGTCGATGGGGGCCCCCTTCTCCTCCGTTCCGCTACACCTTCACCTTCACTTTCTCCTTTCCTTTGCTTCTGTTCTTCGTCCCTCGGTTTCGACTGTGGGTTGCCCAGTCGATTCACCTCTTAACCCTTCACTCTCCTCTTCTCCTACGGGTGCTCCCACGGTACCGTTTGCCGAGCCGTTCGCGAACTGTATAACGTGTCCACGACGCTCAAGGCCGATCCACAATGGCGATGAACACGGACTAGTAAACGCGGCTGGTTCGCGCCGTAGATAATGATAACGGTAAACGGTAAACTACGGGGTCCTGTGGGCACAATAGGATACCATGATGGCGGTTAATGATGAGGGCAATTCGGGTTTTGGCTTGAAGGGGTTTTTACCTGGATATTTCAGTAGGTTGGCTCCTCCTCCACTACTGATCGAGTTTCGCGCCTCAAGACTCGTGCAGGCTACTAACTTTAACTCGAATAACAATCATTCACTTTGATGTATATCACATTCGATTTGGATTTGTCTAGCTTGGTTTTCGACTACCACTTTTAACTTTTGCCAGGCAATTAGCTAGCAACGATGGCGGGTGATTTCCTTGCGCTCTCGATCGTTAATCCATTTTTCTTCAGCCCAATTTCGCCCCATCATGGCCCCTTTTACACCACCTCCCGATGGCCTCCCAATCCTGCTGTCAGCGGCATCTGGCTGTGAGTAGCGGAACTTCGTGGAGTGGTTGCGTGCTGTCCAGTGGGTGGTGGGCGGTGTTGGCACTAATATTTGTATCCTTTCCTGGCATTCATAACATTTAAATCGAAACACAATCGAATCGCTACAATCTCAACAATCTTAGACAGATAGACACACCACTGGTTACACTCTCCCTCCGCTCGGGTTAAAAAAAAATGTCGGTGAAGCCGAATTTTTTTTTTGTTTTCATACACAAGAATTCCAAAATTGTGACGCGTACCTCTGAACCAGCATTTTCCCAAGCAAAACGAAACTTACTCACACACTTTGTTTTTAACACAAACTAATGAATTAAAACCTCAAACTTGTTCAAAAGTATCGAATCACGGATGTTAGCTAGGGAAAGAGTAGCGTTTTATTTAACAGTGAATAATTTGGGTCGGGGTCATAAGTTATCATCGTTGGTAAACCAACTCTACTCAGTTTCAAGGTTAAAACCTCCTACTGACCATCAGCATCTTGCGATTCCGGTCTCCAGCGAACCCATTTACACTGTCTTATTTTCGGGACCAACATTTAAGCAAAACGAAATAAAATAATCACAAATCAAACTAATCTAATATTCTAAAAACCAAACTACTTACTTAACAAATTATTATTTATAATCATGCAAATTTAAAATATACCATGGCAATAATATAAAGAATTCCGGAATAATAATTACAATATGTACAAAGTTTACTCATGAGTACGGTGTGAACATTCATCACCTTTAGAAACGTTTTTCAAATGTCGGAGTAAGCCATTATCAGTATTGATCAACTGTGGCTTTTTTAATGAATCGTTATCAGTTTTAGCAGTGTGTGCGTATGAAAGACTGTGAACAACCAAACTGACAATCCTATTATTCCGTGGCTATTGTGCAACGTGGTGAGTAGTAAGAATTTCTGGCTAAAGTCCAGGTCAAAGTGTGCTCTTTAGAAGAATTAAATATCAATTTGATGACATTGTGTCTAAATTGGGCCCAGTGATCATTTTGGTGTCACTTCTTCCATAAGATCCTTTTGACCAGTGAATTTAGATGGAAATTCGTTTATATGAGGATGATTGGTATGGTGAACACACAATATGGTAAGTATACAAAAGCTATGTGAAGTGATTAAAATTGGATCTATGGTGATAATGGATTGGCTTGACGAACATTGTATTGGACGGTTGTTGAAACTATGAAAACTATTGATTATGTTTTACATTTAATGGTCATGTACTATTTTCTCAAACGTTCACACTCTCATATTTTGTACTGCAATTATCAATTACTTACGATTCAATATCACAAACTTGTTTACGATATTGTTTGTAAGTCAATTGATTGCATTAGGTGCATAGCCGAGCTTTTAGAAATGGTCACAGCTATTCTCCAACAAAATGTAAATAAAAAAAAACCCAAACTACTAATATTTAGGCCTGAGTTTAAAATAAATTCTTACGATTTTCTCTATGAATGCATTCATTTATGGATGTGTTAATAGTAAACACTATCCCTCCTTAACAATTGATTCTCTCCTCGATTCAGAATTTCGCAATAGGATTAGGAAAACAGCACCAGATGAAAATGTTATCGGTCCAGCTATCCTCCTCACCATTGACCTTCTATCACTCAAGAATCAACGTTAACTAATCAGTGGTACCACGCTGTGTTTCTATATTTTTCTATTTTAGGTCTTTAGATCCGCTGCTGAGAAGACTCCTAGCGATCTTCCGTTCAGATCTGCGACCTCGTATGAACTATTGCCCTTCTTTGCCACGATGACGCACGGTCTATATTGTGGGCCTATCTTCGCGTTGAAGTCCTTGTTGGCTGCTGATAAGGTGAAACTCCTTTTAAACACCCGTTGTCCGACAGTGAATGTCGGTGAGTATCGTTTGTGGCGTAGATCATATTGCCTTTTCGTGTTCTCGTGGGCTCTCTTCAAATTTTCCCTCACGAGCTCGAAGTTCTTTTTGCTGACTACCTTCATTCTTTCCGCACGGCCTTCTTCTGAGAGCTCGTTCTCATTCTCCCTCCGATGATCTGATCCTCGTGTTACCATATCATGGCCGAAGATCACTCGATGAGGGGTAAACTTCGTTGATCCATGTACGGTGTTATTCAGAACAAACTCAATTTCTGAAATTTTTGAGTCCCAGAGTTTCTGGTCCTGGCGAACGTACGTGCGGATCATTGAATTTATTGTTCTATTTAGACGTTCTGCCGGGTTCGCTTGACATCGATGTCGTGCATTGGCCCAGTGCTGAATGTCGTATTTCCTTAACAGTTCTTGGAACTCTTTTGACAAAAAAGTAGTGGCGTTATCTGTAATAATGTACTGCGGGACAGACAGCCTTCGAAACCACCTTTCCTCGAGGATTGTGCACAGACTCGAAGCAGAGATCTTCTTCACCGGAGCAAGTAGACAGTACTTAGAAAAAATGTCTAAGACGACTAACAAGTGGGCATTGCCTTGCTTGCTTCGGGGTAGAGACTGTATATAGTCCATGCACACAATCTGAAAAGGTCTGCTAGTGATTCGTTGATTTCCCATTTCTGGCGCAGTCGATGTTGTGGAGTGTTTGCTCTCCTTGCACGTCTCACACTTCCCAACGTATTTTTTCACGTTAGCACTCATTCTAGGCCAATAGTACTTCCTTTTTATTTTTTCGATGCATTTCTCAAATCCAATGTGCATCATTTCGTCGTGTTCCTGCCGAATGATTCGTGGACGTTCAGATTCAGGAACGCATTCCTTCCATTCAAATCTGTAGTCCAGCACATCGGATTGAGCAGCTACAAATTTGAACAATTTCCCATCTTCGATCCGGAAGTCGACGTACTTTTCGGGATCATTTTCCACGGCTTTGAATAGGTTTTGGTACCATTTGTCTGCCTCTACAACCTCAAGTGCCTCAATGGACCGGGATAGTGCATCAGGGACAATGTTTTCTTTTCCTTTACGGTGTTTGACCTCCATATCAAACTGTTGCAGCGTAATGCTCCATCGGCTCAAACGCGATGAGGATCTCCATTTGGCTCTCATTATGAAAGAGAGTGCCGATGAATCCGTGACGAGGGTAAAGTGAGTGCCCTCGATGTAGCATCGAAACTTCTCAATACAGCGAAGGGCAGCCAACCCCTCCTTTTCTGCTGCATGATAATTGAGCTCGGCTCCTTTTAGTTTCTCTGAGTGATAAGCTATCACTCTCTCGACCCCATTGTGAACCTGAGTGAGCACACCTGCGAGAGCGGTATCGCTAGCATCCGTCTGCACGCAAAATGACACGCTGAAATCGGGATTAGTCATAACAGGGGCAGTAATTAGCCTCTCCTTTATGGCTTTAAACGCATATTCTGCTGCTTCATTCCACTGCACTTTCTTCGGTTTATTTTTCAACAAATCGGTGAGTGGTGCAGTGAGTTCGCTGAATTTATCGATAAACCTGCGGTAATAGTTTACCATACCGAGGAATCTTCTCAATGACCTTACTGACTTCGGGGCCTCGTATCCCAGAATCGCTTGGACTCGATCAGGGTTAGGCCGTAATCCTTTTTCGGAAAGGATGTAACCGAGGTAAGGCAATTCGTAGCAGCAGAATTTCGATTTTTCTACATTTATGTATAAATTTGCCTCTTTCAACCTTCGTGCCAAATCCCTTAACTTCTGCACGTGCTCCTCAAACGTGTGGCTCGCTACCACAATGTCATCCAGGTAGACGAAAATGGCTGGTTCTAGTTCTCCATGCCCCAACACTCTGTCCATCAGCTTACTCAGCGTTGCTGGACTATTCACCAGTCCGAAGGGCAGCCTAGTGAACTGGAAAAGTCCCTTCCCTGGTACTGAAAAAGCAGTAAATTTTCGGGACTCGCAGTTCAAGGGTACTTGGAGAAAGGCTTGTGAAAGGTCAATTGTGGTCAAATACTTGAATGGACCCAATTGACTCAATATCCTATTTTGATGAGGGAGAGGGTATGCATCCCTCTTCGTTCGTTCATTGAGCTTTCTCGCGTCGAGACATAGTCTCACGTCTTCTCTTTCTCGTTTTTCAACGGGAACGACCGGTAAAGCCCAATCCGACTCGGATGGCTCGACGACTCCGTCCCTAACCATATTATCCAGCGCTCGATGTATCTTTTTCTGTATTTCTGGGCTCCAAGGGTACGGATTTTTGCGAACTGGGTCAGCATTTAAAAATTCGTCTTTCATCTCGATTTTGTGCTCGATGAGACTAGTTTTCCCCAAGTGGCCTGGACTCGCTGCTAAGAATAAGCTTTTCACCTGCTCCAGTTGCCGTTTTTGGTCATCGTTCAGCTCACTAACGCTTTCCCTTCGTTTTGTTTCAGCTTCATCGATCACTTCGATGGACTGGGAAATTGTTGGACGAATTCCAAAGGCCTGCCAGAAGTCATATCCCAAGATGCAACGACGATTTAGGTTGGGAGCAACCAAGACCGGTAAGAGTTTAGTTTCTCCGTTGAATGTTATTGGAATGTCGGTGGTCCCTACGACATCTAAATTTTGTCCTCCTGCTGTCTTTAAATTAACATTCGTGGATCTCAATTTCAAATTTAGAGAACTCACTAGCTTCCTACCACCTATTCCTAACACTGTTCTGGCTGCACCACTGTCTAACAGTCCTATGAGAGAAATTCCCCATATTTCCACCCTCACGAATGGTCTTGGGTCATCGCTGAGTGTCACGAGCATTGTGGCTATCTCTAACTCCTCGGCTGTATCTCCACTCACTCGTGAATAGCCTAGCTGTTCGAGAGTCTCTGGAACTGCTGGCTCTATGTGAGGTCTTGTGGAGTTGTTTTGAAGACTGTCTTGCCTCTCTAGGCAGTCTTCGGCCCATTTTTTGACTGGCAATAAGGACAATCCTTCGTTAGAAAGCCCGGGAATCCACAACGTTCGCAGAACATTTTCCGTTCCCTGGTACAGTCCCTAAAGTCATGCCCACCTTCATGGCAATTGTAGCATACATTCTTCCTCACCGGAATGTACGCATTAACGATCCTCTTTAGGGCACTAGTTCCACTGGGACCAGGATCTGTTCTCCTCAGTTGTTGTGTATTGTCCGGCTTCGTTTTCGGTTTGATGAAATTTGTGTACTTCTGGTTGTTCTGATTTTCCTTCTCTTGTTGTTGTTTCCAGTTACGCTTCTGATATAGCTGATTTTCGCCTGGTTCAAACTGGCGATTGGAATCTCCTCTATTCTGGTTTCTGTTCTGGTACCTGTCTCGATGGTCTTGGAACGACTGTCTAACCTCATCGATCTGCACTACCTCTTTCCTTGAAAACCTCACGTCTTTCTTCTGGTACATGTGCCAGTTTATCGAATCGAACCGCTTACCAAAATCTTTCATTTTAGGTATTGAATCGACGTTCGCAGCCAGCATTGCAATACGGCAGTCGTCCCGAGTATTGCGGAATAGGACGTCAAACTTCCGTTTTTCATCCCATGGAATCGACATGCAGCGAAAAATCCGGACCATGTCCAAGTAAAAATCCTGGAACTTCTCCCTGGAACCTTGCTTTCGGTTATTAGCTTGCCGTTCGTACACGTAATCGATGTCCACAGGTAGAAATTCTTTCTTCAATTCCTCTACCAGTTCATCCCACGTATTCAATTCCGTACTAACCTCCATGAACCAGGATCTCGCCTTCTGTGTGAACAAATGGTGAGCACCCTGAAATAATTCAGCTCCTGAAAAACCTTCTGACCTAGCATTGAATTCCACCTCCTTTAAAAATTCATTCAATCTTCTCCCATTATCCATTCCGTCATAACGTATTGCCCATTTATGGATTGGAAATCTACTACTACTGTTCATTGATCTACTTTTCTCTCTATCTCTGTCACTAATTTCGTTCTCTTTATTTGCTACTGTTTTCTTCTCTTCTGCGCTCTTCAGCGTTTCTAGCGAATCGTTTTTTTGCTTAATCCAGTCTAAGAAATCTACTGGTTTAGGTTGAGTTTTTTCGACCCTTTTCTCTTGAGTAACTCTTTCCTCAATCCGAGTACTATTGTTGGTTTGGAGTGGGACATCCTGTGACTGACTCTGACTTACTGGTTGTTTAGATTCCAGCACTGTGATACGTTGAAGCAAAAGGCTCACAACCGACGCCAGTTGTCTGATTTCATCCGCCAATCTATCCTTCTCACTGTCCACCTTTTCAGACTCACTACCACCCACAGCACTCACCTCGTTACTCTCCTTTCCTCTCAACCCACTAACACTATCCTCAGTAGACCTCTCTACTAGGTTTTCATTTACGATTTCCTCCAGCTCATGATCAGCGTTCTCGTTCACTTCCTCATTACGAAGTTGGTGTAAGCTCTCGTTGATGATCGCCAACTCAGCTTCTCTCACTTCTGGAAGGTGTGAGTTTGCCGAGAAGTATACACTGAGCAGCTTTACACACTCTCCGGCTATGACCGCCAGACTGTTAATTTCATCCTCCTTTTTAGTATTGGCTCTCAGTCGATGCATTCGGAAGAGGATGTGAATGAGCCTGGTTTTAAACAGCTGATCTGGTGCTCTCTTCGACCTTCGCTTTTCTAAATGGTTCTTGATGCCATTCAGCTTTCCATCACAAACCTCCAACTCTTCTACTACGGATTCACTAACAAACTGAAATGCAACATCTGATTTGTCTTTTTCCTCTTTCAGGCGACATCTCAACGTTCGTTCTGATGCACTACGAGAAGCATCCGTCGTGCTACCGCGTATCTTCAGTTCGTGTTCCAGTTCATCTATGGTCAGATGACCTGGATTCATCGCATGGTACTGTGCCGTAATATGAAGCATCTCCATCGCTGCTATTGACATTCAACCACGAGAAAATCGATAAATAAAAATCAAAAAGAAACTTAAATTTTGCTCAAGTGGAGCTGCCAATCAAAATTAATTGAAAAATTCTATTTTTGCACACTTTCGTTGCTTGAAAGCAGTTAATTAAAAAAAAAATTGGAAATTCTAAAATTTATTCACGCTCCCTATTGAAGCAAATAATTTTAAAATCCTAGTTTTAGTCCGTTTTAATAAACGTTTTTTTTTTGTTTGTTTGGTGTTTTTTTTTTTACAATCTGAAATTCACACAACACTACTGATTCCGGAATTCACCGCGAAAATACTCCAACAACTAGACTTGTACGATTTTAGTTTGCTTTACTCAATTGTTGGTAGCTATTAAGACCATTAACTGACATCCAAGACCCCTCTTAATAAACAAATTCTATTGAATTTTCTTTCATCAACCCGGTTACCTGTTTTGTGTGTTTTGGTCAAGTTTGTTCGCGAAGTCTGGATGTTTTCCCAGAGACTTCTGCAAAGACACGCAATCGGTATTCAAGTGTACCCGAACACTGATAGTCTACGCAAATTTTCAGTTGGGCGCCAAGTGTAACAATTGGGGTACTCCCTGCCCAGCATTAATGAGACCCCCCTCTACACTGCCTCAGGGTCGGCATACACGTGTGACTATCGCGGCCAAGGAAACACTCAAATACTCTTTACACACCCCGATGAACTCTCACACACAGGTCTCGTTTATTTCCCTAACTTTCCCACTTTCTTATCGGTTATCTCCTACCTTAACCTTCGGTAGTTCTTCCTTCGTCTTCCGTTGTCGATGGGGGCCCCCTTCTCCTCCGTTCCGCTACACCTTCACCTTCACTTTCTCCTTTCCTTTGCTTCTGTTCTTCGTCCCTCGGTTTCGACTGTGGGTTGCCCAGTCGATTCACCTCTTAACCCTTCACTCTCCTCTTCTCCTACGGGTGCTCCCACGGTACCGTTTGCCGAGCCGTTCGCGAACTGTATAACGTGTCCACGACGCTCAAGGCCGATCCACAATGGCGATGAACACGGACTAGTAAACGCGGCTGGTTCGCGCCGTAGATAATGATAACGGTAAACGGTAAACTACGGGGTCCTGTGGGCACAATAGGATACCATGATGGCGGTTAATGATGAGGGCAATTCGGGTTTTGGCTTGAAGGGGTTTTTACCTGGATATTTCAGTAGGTTGGCTCCTCCTCCACTACTGATCGAGTTTCGCGCCTCAAGACTCGTGCAGGCTACTAACTTTAACTCGAATAACAATCATTCACTTTGATGTATATCACATTCGATTTGGATTTGTCTAGCTTGGTTTTCGACTACCACTTTTAACTTTTGCCAGGCAATTAGCTAGCAACGATGGCGGGTGATTTCCTTGCGCTCTCGATCGTTAATCCATTTTTCTTCAGCCCAATTTCGCCCCATCATGGCCCCTTTTACACCACCTCCCGATGGCCTCCCAATCCTGCTGTCAGCGGCATCTGGCTGTGAGTAGCGGAACTTCGTGGAGTGGTTGCGTGCTGTCCAGTGGGTGGTGGGCGGTGTTGGCACTAATATTTGAATCCTTTCCTGGCATTCATAACATTTAAATCGAAACACAATCGAATCGCGACAATCTCAACAATCTTAGACAGATAGACACACCACTGGTTACAATTTGCTGAATAAAACAAGTCTCAAAACAGGTAAATTTACTACACTTAAGTCAAATTGTTTCGTACTTTTCGAGTTTACTGAAAACTTCTGCGGAAAACAAAACCAGCTGTCAAATGTCGAACGGTGCAAGTTCACAATAAGTTTCGTATGCACTTTTTAGCAACTTTCAAGTTCAGATAAGGTTCTACATGAACTAATTAGAGACTTTGAAGTTCAAAAATAGTTCTTACGGAACTTGAAAGTAGATTTGGGTACTCTGAAAACCATTTTTATTAATGAAATCAACACATCAAGTAACATCATATGATATTCCACTTCGTTCGCATAGAGCAGTGGTTTGTATTTTGGTTTCAAAGAGGAGGACTCGAGTTTGAAACTTGTGGTATGTAATTTAAAAACATGTAAGAGAATGTGGTAAGCAGCAAAAAAATAGAAATATTTGTTTTCTATTTTGGTTTGTTGATTTCATTCAAGTTTTCTTTTTAGGCTGAATAGCATTCCCTCCAACGGTTAAACGAACCTTTTGTGAACTTTCAAGTTCTTTTTAAAAGTGAAACAGCATTCTGTTAGAAGCTTAAACATCGAATGTGAACTTGGATGTTCGGTTAATTACTTAAAAAGTAAGCTGAATAGAACCAACAATCAATACGAAACTAACGATTTTAAATTGGCTCACTACTTGACTAGCTTATTGGTCCCATGCAAACGATTAACGAACCTCATTCTAGTCGAAATTCTATTACTACGCAATGTTTGTTTTGATTCGCTATGAAAGTTTGACAGATAAAATGAGGGGTTATTGGTTTTTCTTATGTTTCGAGGGGTGAATCGATTAGCTTGGGGCCGAAGAGAGTACCAGAACTGAGCCAAAAAGTTGAGCCCGTTATTTCAGGATCTTCTAGTCTTAGAGTTACCTCTATGATAGAACTCTCTTCATAATCCTTCGATTAGCTGATTAAGCCAAAAAAGGGCTTTTATCCGAACTTTTGGTTGCTTGGGAAAGGCGGTGGCCAACAAAATTCGTCGGAATCCGGTAAGGTATATGAATCAAATGGACCAAGGACTATCAGGTGTCGCGTACGACGATGCAAACCGTGGTTAAAAAGGATCTTGACCTCTAGCCTTCTAAAGTGCAACAACGTCAACTTCTCTCAGAAGTAGCAAAGAAGAAGCGGCTGGAAAGAAGCAAAATCTTGAAGAAGTGGCTCGCGGATAACCCTGACGTTGTGGTGATTTATTCGGATGAGAAGTTATTTGACGTCAGCCGCAAATGTAACCGTCAAAATTGTTGAATGACAACCGACCGATGCGTTGCATAGCAACCTAACAATCTAGATATTAAGATCGTGGTAGGCCTAGCCTTCATCTAATTATGAATTGTTCTCTTTTACCCAAGCTACCGTTCAATAAAGACGCTTTAACTTTGCTCTGTCTATGTTATTAAAAATGACAGATTGCTATGCAAGCATCGGAGTTCGACTGATCCCGACAACAAATTCGTCTACAGAGCGCAAAAACCAGATTCGATGATGATCCGGTTGCCGTGGGTCCAGTCCGAGGGGAACGACACATCTAAATCTCAATTCTAGATGCTCAAAAAATCTCACACTAGCGAATCAATCTTCGAAAAATCATCTTTTATTTCTCGCATCTACTTGCATCGTGCATCATCTTTTTGCAGGAAATCTTCAAAATCGACATAAATCATCCTTTTATCTACTCAGCCTGCGTGCATTTAGCCACAGCAAAACACAATCTTTTCTGCATCGTAGATAGAGTCGTCCCCTTCGGTCCAGTCGGAGTTCACAGGCACAGCGATTTGCTTCTCCCAAGATTCGGCACCTGCCCACGCAGCCAAACGCGTTCAAGCGTGGTGTCAAACAGAACTTCGATTCTTTTTGGTCGAAGGAAATGTGGCATCCTTCTTCTCCGCATATTAACCCACTAGATTTCGCGATGTGGGGCATCGTAGAAAGGCCGACTAATGCTAAGCCATGAAGCAATAACGACGCTCTTATAGTTGCTATACAAAGAGCCTGGGACGATGTTTCTGAAGAAATCGTGCGAGCCAGCTGCTCCAGGGTTGCTGATCGTTTGACGAAGATTATTCGAGCAAAAGGCTCCCATTTTCGATAAGCTGATGCTGAATAAATTTACACTGACTCTCGAATATTACGATCAATTTTTGCAAAACTTACTTTCGGAATAAATGAAATATTGAGAATTTTAATGGGGGCCGTTTTATTCAGCCACCTTGTATAATCATTTGACTAACAGTCTTAATGAAGTTTCGATGGGGAAAAGCCTGAATGAACCAGCTACAGCAGGCGCAGAAACCCCATATCTTTTCACACAACATATTGAAAAGCGAATCATACAAAAAATAGACGAAATGGGCATGCGGTCGTCAGGTGCCAGGCCAAGTCCTCGTCAGAAAGATGAAGTCACCGGGAGAAAAAAAATGCATGTTATAGAAATTGGACAGTTACTCACCAATTTCATTGAATCATTGAGGCGTTTAATCGTAGTTCAATTGATGTCATTGCACCCAGAGTTGTGACCTATCACAATCACGATCGTCAAACAGCTGATGGTAGTATCCTATCAATGTGCTTGTCGAAGCACTCTCCATGACCATCCATCAAATTGACGAAAGAAGTAAAAAGCAACTAGTGAATGTCGTCTTGGGTGGTGATCCATCACCGATCTGGTCTTTCCTGACAACCACGACACTCATCTGTGCTCGTTTTGAAGCAGTTGCTGCTTTGCTTGCTTATGTGAGTGTGTTGGTGAGTGAGCCCAACACCTTCCGTTTCATTTTGCCAGCTCTGTTTGTAACTCACACAGTCGCGCGTGCTGAGCCGAACTTGGAATGGGTAGGCATTGTTTTCGTTTTCTCCTGTCGTTTCGCTTTTTCTCATCATCGTTCTGCAGAAGTCTTCACTGTTTTCGTTGTGCTTAACATCATCAGCAGCGAGTGTTACGTTTTGCCTGTGAGATAGTCGATTGATGCGTTGACGAGTGTCGAGTGAGTGTCATGATATTTTGCGCCTTTCGTTCCGATACGTAAGCATTCAGCTCCGCGATGATCTCCGATGAATCCCTATCTCCCAACAGGATGTTTGCCACAAAAACTGCTTGAGCAGTGCTTCTTCTTTTGTCCAGAGTTTCAACACCCAGCAGTCCACAACGGTCTTCGTTATGTGGTAGCTGGAGGGGATCTCGCCACGGAAGGTCACGAAGGGCATATCTTACGAACTTTCTTTGGATTGCTTCAATCCTAACAATCCACGTTGACTGATACGGGCACCAAACTACAGCATTGGATTCATGGACCGATCGCGCAGTATAGCGAACGAAGACAGTGTTGGTCACGGAATTCGTTGGTTATTTTGAATATGAATCCAAGCTGCCGATTGGCTCGGCTCTAGAGATAATGTCGTTGTAATGTAACGCCCAAATCCCGTACTGGATGAACACGCTCAAGAGGCTGGTCGGCGATGTTATAGTCATG